CATATATATATATATATATATATATATATATATATATATATATATATATATATATATATATATATATATATGCGTGTGCAACTCTGAGTTTTCATGTCCTTATGTTAAGACTGACAGGCTGGTGTGAAAAGGGTTGGTTCCCACTAAGGTCGGTTTCAACTCTGTTGGAGCTTGACTGCCGGACCTACATACACCTCCGGTTGTTCGTTCATCTGTTAGTACCCAAATAGAATCGGTCTTGACAACGTCCTTCAACTCCTCTCCCAATCGGGTAGACTCGGACAAGAGGGGCTCGCTAATCCCTATCGAGCAAGTATTTAGCTAGAAGGTAAGTTATTTTTCCCACGATTGACTTTCGCCTGCTCATCAATTAAGAGACGGGTGTTTGTTGTGAGCTTAAAATACTTTATCTTAATGAGGGGCTCCCTTGCTCCGGATCAATTATCAAAAGGAGATTTTCATTAAAACCTCAGGTCCGTTCAGACCCCCAGTGCGATCGGAAACAAGAGAAGCACGACAAAAAGCAAAGTGAGAGGGCATCGATCGACGCTTACGCACGAGGATGCAATCCATGCAAGACCAAAGTTCATAAGTCCGAACTCGCAATCATTTCACATATAGTCAACGCATCATTATTAATAGTAACCCATCACTTTCTTTTCGGCGTTTCTCTCACCCTCTACAGCGGTTCTTTAAGAGTTACTTGGACTGGGGGGGACCCAGTCAAAAGTCCCTCGAAGTGATAGCCATCTAAGGACCCCCTTGGCTCCCGACAGTGTCAAAATCATTCAAGTCTCCGGTATACTTAGCCGCTACGTGACTTCCACACCCGATTTTCAGTCCGTAATTGGCCGCAAAGTCACTTCATCGCACGTAGATTAAATCTCATTAAACTTCATTTGGCGTTGTTAGTCTCAGTTTCCCTGTTTGATTTCGGCTATTAAACCTATTAGCTTACAGTCGTCTTTTCCCTGCCAGCGTCCATTAGATATCAAACATTAGCTAGCAAACCCTTGAGTGCGCGTACGAATCAGAAGCTAATATCACTCAGTAGCCCAAGACGGTGCTTGACGGCGACCATGTAGTGACAAAAGGGGGGATATCCGCTACACCTTCAGGCTCAAATTCCGTCTAAAGTATCCTAAGCCCACTCCTTACAGAGGTCCAATACCTATAGCCTGGGTCACCCCACTACAGTTATGATGCACGATGCAATCGTCTGGGCGAGCGGCACATGGAAGACGGAGCCAACCTTAGGGTACAATGCTTCCTCTCAAGAACTTCCGGGAAGCTTAACTTCACGAAAAACAATTTCGTACTTGATACAAATGTCACTTATCCCAAGGCAGAAGAAAGACGATAGCAGGGATGAAGCAGACTAGCGGAAAAACAAGTGGTGCTAATGACCAAGGAAAAGAACACGTGTCCGACTCACTCCTGACAATGCGGCACAATATCACTCGCTGAACACAAGCGGTTATCGGGTAGCTGAAAATTCAGGAATGAAAATTCTGAAGTGAGAGTTTTGGGTAGTCTGAAAATCCTGAATGGTCCTGAAGTGGTGAAAGGTCCGAAGACGCTGAAAACCACTTTTTTAGGCAGGCTACATCCGGAAGTGGTCAAGTGAGAGTTATGGGCCGTCTGAGAATCCTGAATGGTCCTGAAGTGGTGAAACGTCCGAAGACCATGAAAATCACCCTTCACCACTTCAGGATGCAGCCTGCCTAAACAGGTGGTTTTCAGGGTCTTCGAAGATTTCACCACTTCATGACCATTCAGGATTTTCAAACTTGAATGGTCCTGAAGTGGTGAAAGGTCTGAAGACCCTGAAAACCACCTGTTTAGGCAGGCTGGCTGCATCCTGAAATGGGGAAGGGAGTCATAAAGTGGTGATGAAAAATACGACTGTTGTTAACCTTCTCTCTCGCTGAATGGCACCGATTGGAGTCAATTAATATCATGCCCTGCAGTTTTGGCTTTGGTCCCGCTACCACTGCGAGAAAGGCCCACCCGCTGAGATCAGCGGCAGTCTGCAAATTTGACGTTCATAACGCCCCATCCACCGACTGCATAGCAAAAAATATATTCTTCCTGCTCTCTTTCCACAATCGTAGCCTGCCTACTCAGGGCGTTTATCGCAGACACTCACCATATCCTTCAATGGTCCAAAATGCATATCCAACATGTTATTCGTTAAAATATGACATTATATTGTGTCCTCTTTCGAACGAATTCAGTTTCGGCTACAGCCTAAGCAATGTAGGGATGCCCATCCACTCGGCCCATATGCGAAAGTGTGCTGAGATCCATACTTGTTTATAACAGTAATAAGCAAGGTGTGCCCGATATGCGGAAGTGTGCTGCGATCCGTACTTGTTAATAATTGTGACGACCAATGCCCCTTGATTGTATCCTTGTCGGAGAAGTTCGACAAGTGTGCTGAGATCCGTACTTCTTTTGGATTGTGATGAGCAAGGCGGCTCAATTGTATCCTTCTTGGACAAGCTCGCTTCCACTATTCCGAAGTAACGTAGGCATGTCCATCCTCTCGGCCGAAACAACTAATACTTATATGGATGCTTGGTGAGATTCCGTCTTCTTTAGAATGCTTAGTATAGCGACTGGCATGCCTAGACACTTGGCCCACATGCGGAAGTGTGTTGAGATCCATACTTCTTATACTTAAAAAATTTAATGAGCAAGGCGTCACAACCGAATCGATGTTGGATAACACTTTTATGAAGCGCCTTGATTGTCTCCTTGTTGGACAAGCTTGCTTCGGTTATCTTTTAGTAACATAGGCATGTTTATCCTCTCGGTCGAGACGGTTATATGGATTCGGTGAGATTTCATGTTCTTTAGAAGGCTTAGTACGGCGACAAGCACGACCAGGCACTTGACCAACATGCGGAAGTGTGCTGAGATCCATACTTGTTATACTTTAGAAGGCTTAGTATCGCGACAAGCACGCCCAGGCACTTAGCCAACATGCGGAAGTGTGCTGAGATCCATACTTGTTATACTTAAGAAATTTGATGAGCGTGGTGTCCTAACCGAACCTATGGTGGATAATACATTTCCGAATGTCATCGCTATTGCACTTTATTAAGCAAGGTGTCGACCTCGCACGAAGACAACTTTTCTGATTTCGTATGAGAACCGGATTTCTTCAAGTGATGCAATTTATGTTTGATAATATCTGAACTTATTTCGCTATGTGATGAAATTAATACAAAGAAGGGGGTTGATTATATTGACAAGCAACATCTGCACTTGAGCAGGTCATTCACAGAAGTCCCGGATATAAACACGAAGTCATTTGTTAAATGCACTGTAGGCAATCATAAACCAAGTGATGGTCGCGTAATGAACTGCACACTTACGCACTTATCGGGAGTTGTCATGCATGGACACACCAATTTATTATATCGCACAAGAAATTCGGATATCATCTGATTTCAATTCTTATGCACACTCTAGGTTCTTATATGTGAAATTCGGAGAAAAGAACGCAACAAAAATTTGTCCCACCGCACGAAAAAAGATGCAGATGACAAAGTCTACAAATGCCGCCATACAGACAGCAACCATCCTAAACAAAACTCAAAATTGAGCGAACAAAAGATAACGAAGTTGCACTGAGAAAGACAGTGGAATAATGTCATGTACAACCAAAAACAATCGCTATTGAATGAAATACAGTCAAAAGAATGTACAGAAGTCATGGAAACCAATCAAAGACAATGGTGTTCCAAAAGACATGCTGCCAATTGTCGTCTAATTACAGGGATATCTTCAGAAGAGAACCTGAAAGGTGGTCGATCACCATGTTGCAACAACGTTGCAAACGTCAACATGAACACCCCGCAACTAGCTCCATCAACTTGTCTCGGAACTCCTTCCACAACAACGTTCCCCGCCATAGACTTCCAACTCCTAGGCGACCGACTATGTGAGGTATGACGTTCTAAGTACTGTACAATCAACTGGAAAACACTAAGGTAGAAACGCGAATCTGCTATAATGCGAGGATAGGAGTCGAAAATCTCGAAGACATTATCCCTGAAATTGATGGAAAAGAGGATCCAGTGATCATTGTCTTTGTGCACCGGAACGAAGATCATATTGAAGTGAAGCAGATCGACATTCTTAGCCCACCTTTCCACCCCACCGTGTCCATAGAGTTGCAGCTTAGTGAAGAAGAACGAACTGAAGCTGAAGACTCGAAGGCCTGATGATGTTTGACGTGTCACGCATGCAGTCGACCCCAAAAGCGCCATGTAGAAATTCACCACCTCATCGTTGAGCTTCCCATCGACAAGCAAGATGGTGAGCAGATCTTTAGCTGTGATTCTCACTTGATCATCACCGAAAGTAGATAGAACATGATGAGGTGGCACCAAGCCTCGGGATATGTCACCCATAACCCTCAAGACTCGAGGCGCAATCGCGTTATCGAAAGTCCCCCCGCAGGCTCCACGGGCTCTGGCGCAAACTGCACATCATCGACCAATGCACACGCTGGGTTGTGAGAAACGGTGTTCTAAAGATTGTCCCTCATCGCGCGATGCATTGCTAAGTATTTTTCATACATGGCCTGACCCCTAGTCACAGATCGCGGATACGTCCCCTTCTCCGGAGGCAGAAGGGAAAGACATTCATCAATGGCCACGGCATGGTCCTTCTCCTCAATCTCGACATCAACCCCTGATGCCTTTAACATATTCTTGTATCTTGTCGTGAACCCGGGGACTTTTTGCAATATTCGTGCCGGATATTTCGAGAAATTGGAGGACCTCATTTTCTGAGTCGACCCTACCCCTGTAAAACAAAAGAAAGACAGAACCCGAAATGAATATACGCTTCGATGAAAGTTGAAAAGTAAAACAATGACATAGCCATCCAGATGATGGCCTCTCCAACCAGCGGAGTTTGTCATCACGTGGTCGTGTGCAGCGAGGAGCATGTGAGCCTTTGGACATGAAGACGAGGAGCGCATTCGAGCCTGAGACCCCTGCACAACGCGAAGCAAGAAAACGTCAGGCCAAACAGTTCGGAAGCCGGCAAACGACGAAGTCCGGATTCTGGCGGACTAGAAGCCACAATGGGCAGACACTGACCAACCACGTCCGGCCCTGATACTAGAAGTGAGGATACCGACGCATTAAAAAGATCGGACCTCCGGAAGGTATGTTTTCTGTACACCGCCGGTGTCCTCACGACCAGTGTCGGCGGGAGATGGAAAGCCGACACTTGCCCTTGTGCAGATGTCGGCGGAGTATCAGAGACTAAGCACATCACGCACCCACAATAGAAGCGCGGACACCGGCGGACTTAAGCAACCAGCAGATAGAAGGGTGGTTTATCTTCTCGGCAGGGGTTGTTTGGTCCGCCGGTATCCGCACTTGTTTTGCCGAAGGGTGACGAGGTCAGTCTCTGTGTGCCGGTTGTGGATGAAAGTCCACCGGAATCCATACTTAACCATGTGCCAGCTCTCCTCATGTCGTCGACAATGGTAGTGCGGATACCGGCGGACTACAACGACCTGTCCTGCCAACGAAAGAATAGCACACTCCAGACGAGGCAGACAGGGCAGGTATGTCGTACCGAAAGGACCCAACGTTGTAGTCCGCCGGTATCCGCACTTGTTGTGTCGAGGCCAATACCGGTTGATCTGTATGTGCCCATCGGGGCTCGAATTTCGGCGCAGTGCGAACTGCGGCAAGTGTCGACAATCCTCTTCTGTGGCCGCACAGCCCTCTGTCTTTGCTACCGTCAATGGGAAGGCGGAACTTGTCCTCGCCTCAACGACAAGATGGCTATCTGACATCGTTGGCACTCTAGAGACGTTGGCATGCAGACGTGGCGGAGATCATGAACGCTTACCAGCCGGTTTCTTGCTCCATTTCTTCATCGACGACCTGGGCGCGGGTAAGGCGAGCACCGCGAGAGGCCGAGTGGCCACTCTGCTTTTTTTCGGGGACGTCACATGTTGGCAGCCGGCACCCCCCCCCCCCACTGTGCCAGGGAAGGCATCTACTAGTGTCGGAGAGCAGGGCGACGGGACCGCCAAGTCGGCGCCCACGGAAGGATCGGGTCGGCGCGGCCGACGGTTTTTGTAGGCGGGGACGGAGTTGATATGGCCTGTTGTTTGCCGAATTTGCAATCAGTGACGTCGCTGACGTCCATTCGACGATTCGTTTTCGTCTGGCTCACTGCCATGGCGACCTCGTCGCACCCGTCCCGGAGATGCACTGCCGGCGCCAGCGGGTGCATGTCATAGGCATCCGGGTCTGCGGAAAGGCCAGTGGCCACCTGAGTCTCCATTTCCATCGTCGCCGCGTCGTCGTCATCACCTCCGTGTTGCATCGTGTACAACTGTCCGAACGACTCAAACAACTCTCCACAGCCAGCATCTTCTCCACTGTCCGGCCGTTCGTCCTCTAAAATACTGAATCCGTGCTCTCCATTGTCTTCTCCTTCACGCAACAAAATCGAATCCCTTTCCCCCCTTTCCGCTCCTCCCCCACCTTCTTCCCATTCCTGTTCTTCTTGGCCGTCCTCCACTTGCCCATTCTTCCCCCCCGTCCCTCTTGCGCAGTTCGGTTCCTTCCACTGGCTCATCGTCGACTCCCGCCGACAACTCTTCTGTCCCTGCACACGTCTCATCTTCTGCCCGCCCGACGACCTGTGACTGCAGGCCCGTTCCCTAGCAAGTTCAGATACCGGCGGAGTTCGAATTGCAGAGCACAGACGGCGCCGCTCTATCCAACCGTGCGTTGAACTTCGTAGGCGGCCCGTCTCCGACGGCCGACGCCGTCCCTTGCCACATAGGAAAGTCGTCGGACGTCGCACAGGACGAAACCGAAGCGCCGATTCCAGCGGACTTCGTTTTGGCACTCGCTTCCGACACTTCTGCTCCTGTAGCGCTGCGCAGGACGGGCTCCCCATCGTGCACCTCACAAGGCTTGGTTCGGATAACGGCGGACTCGTACTTGACGCCGGTGATCGGAACCCCCGCATTTGAGCCTCTCCCGATGCCAACGGAGGCGGCTAAAGCAGTCGTCGAGGGAAGGGCCGACCAATAGTGCGGATGCCAACGGACTTCGCAGCGTCCAAAGGCGCTGGCTCCTCGTTCTGAGAAGTTCGGATATCGACGAACTTAGCCAATTTGCTGGCCCCGACGGTTGTCTTGTCAGCAACGTTCAACACCCCAACCCGGCCACCGCTTTCCAAAGTTTTGCCCTGGTCGTGAGTGCCAACCGATCCCCCTGACGTGGTGCCCTCTCCTTTCCCCTTGCTGCTACCCCCACCCACTACCCCCCCCGGAGGGCCTGGAGGTCCCCCTCCCGCACTCTCCTACGCCCCGTCGCAGGGGGGACCTTCCAGTCCACGCTTCCCTTCGAAGGGCTCGTATCGAAGTCGTAAAACTCGTCCGAGAGTTCCAACCACCCCTTGTCTTGAAGCTCCAGAAACAAACGATCAACGTGGTTAACGACGGCCGGGTCAGTGGCCTGGAGATGAGGGTTCTCGGACGCCACTTTATCCGCCACACCACTGCTTGCGAGTTGCAAGTACTCGGACATGGGAAGGCGCGAGCATGGCTCCCATTGCCCAGCCGAGTCCACAATGACCATGATCCACTCCCCTTTGCGGATTGCCGGCTGGATCGTTCCTGGGTGCCAAATCATGTCGAGACCCCAGTCTGCTTCACTAGAATGAGTGTGGTCGTGCCCTTCAAAGTGAATGGAATCATCCTTCCGAGAAGGATGTTCCGGTGGGACTGCACTCCATGGACGCAAGCGAGGCGGGGCAACAGTTCGGGGTGTGAGTTTCGCCAACAGCTTGCTGGGGGTCTTGCCGGGGGTGGACCTGCGAACGGGCGTCGCTGGAGTGGCCTGGCTTGATGACGCACCTGCCGTCGAGGAACCCGGGGATAGAAGAACAGGAGCAGGGTGGTAATTTAGGGCGATTTCCTCAGTGTCGCTATCCTCCTCCGGAACATTGGTGTCGAAAACGACTCCGGTCGATGCCTCTTCATCCATGTCAATCAATGCACTGTAACTCGCGACCCTGAGCTCCTGCTCCGACTCAACAAAGTACAAACACTCCAGTCGGTCCAGGAAGTTCTTCGCGTTCAAACGCGAGGCGCTGTGGTATTTGTCCAGCAACACCAACATATGCTCCCTGCGGCGAATATACTCAGGGTCGCTGTCCCTCCTAGGCCGCGTCTCCAAGAAGAGGAACTCGTATATCCTGTCCCTTTTCCTCTCGTTTAGCTTGAACAACATGTCCGTGGACGGCTCCCAAGTGCGTTTCGGTTTGTCGGTCTTCGAAATGAACTCGCAGCGGTGGGCTCCAGAGTTTACAACGCTTTTCAGGAAATCCAATGTGTATTGCAGCAACTCCGAATTCCCCTCCAACGCGATGAAGTTGCCACCGCCCTTCAAAGCCTCCCACACGACTTGCGCGTGCGCCTTCCCGAGAAACATGACACCCTCCCCCTTCTTGCACACGAATTCCAGCAGATGGGCCAACTGCGCGGGGTTCCATTCCATGTCCTTGTAAACCTTGGGTTCACGACCAGGTATGACCAGGGGTCATTCACAAGGCTCGAACGGCATCTCCGAGACGTCCGTCGGTGTGACTTTGACATGTGCCCCAACAGCAGCAGCATCACCCGCCCCCAACCTCGTGTCGTAAACCACAGACGTGTTCTCCCGCAAGTCGTCACCTTTGAAGAGGATGTACATGCGGTCGTCCAATGAGTACAAGTTGTTGCCGACCGCGAAGCTTTTCTTCTGCTGCAGCCTCCTCACCCACTTTCCTGCCATTGCCTTGACAACGGACAAATTGCGCAGACTGGTCATGAAGTAGTAGTCGTGCTCCCGGCGGACGAAAGCAACAACCGTCCAGTGCGAAGGGAACAAATGTTCTAGAAGGGCATTCAAACTCTCGAAAGCTTGCTGTATCCACTGTGTGATGTCCACAGGCTCGCACAAATCAAGAACGACAGTGTGGCATTTCGTGATCCCAACCGCTTTCTCCAACTCGACGACCTTCATTTGCGCCTCCAGAGGATCGACGCCGAAGGGGGAGATGGATGTCACGTCCCCCGAGGCTTGCCACCAAATGTGCACCATGCCTTCGGCAAGCGCGAGATCCATGCTCTTCGACCTGCTGCCGGTCAGCACGGAAAGGACCTTGTTCTTCCAGTCGATGGACAACTTCTTGTTGTGAACCAGTTTTTATGTCGCCTTGATCGACTTGTCGTCCTCGCAGCCCATGAACGGGGGACAGTCTCTGAACAACGAGGCTCACACCGGCCTTCACGTCCTTCACCTTCTTCTTCTTCGCGATCCACTTCGCCCCTTCGGGTGACAGCAGTCTGCCCGTCTCCCATTTCTCGAAAAATTCCATTCCCATTTTCTAGGCGCTTTCCCCGGCCATCGCAAGCGGGAAATAAGATCGAAGGGCAGCGTTCTGCTTCCTTATGCCTTGCCTGGTCTTGTCGTCAGCGAGTATCCACAAATGATTGTACGGCGTCTTTTGAAGCGCATCTATACAAAACCTGCGCCACGCCTCCACCTGAGCCTGTTTCCCGCTCGGGTTCCCCATAACAGCTCTGGGGTAACCCTTGTCCTTCCAGCACCACCGGATGTCCTTCATCGAAAGTTTCTGCGGTCTGGGAGGCGCCTTCAGGTCCTTCTTGTTGTCCTCGACGATGACCAGAAAATAGTAGTAGTATTGGTCTGCCAGATCGTCCTTCCAGTCCTCGGGCTTCAGACGGAGTGCACGCACCCACGGCTTCGGTTTCTCCAGCCCCAGCGGCGCCAACTTCAGTGTGGGCAGCTCGTACGTCTTCTCGGCCTGCGAGTAGGCCGTCGTCATGGCGTCTATGATCAGCTGCGTTTGCACCGGATCCAAGGAACGCTGGTTGTACCCCGCTTCCCACTCCCCGATGTCGACGACTTGCGACGGGTTAATGGGGATCTCCTGCTTTGTGCGCACGCCGTCTTTCCATTCGAGGAAATATGCCGCATCGATGTCGATGGGAGCCCTCTTGCACAGGGCCGGACAGGGGCTGAATCTGCACGGAGGATCGACGTTTGTGACTTTTGAAGCAGCCGCCGCCTCTCCACGAGAATCTCCCCTTCTCTTTTGTGAAGACTGCTGTTCACCCTCTTCTCCCCCGGACACGACGCCAGCAGGCCTTCCCCCCGACCCCATTGTGTGACCCTTGGCTGACGTCGAGGGTTGCTCCTGGACCGGTGTTCTTTTTTCAACCCCCGGAATGCTCAGCACCCTGCGGTCTCCCCCTCTAACCGGCGAATTTCCCGTCCTCTCGTCTTCTTCCTCCTCGCTGTCGTCGAAGCGACCACGTTCCTCGCCTCGGTGGAGTTGGAACGAAGCATCGGAACCCAAATCTCCTCCCTCGGACGGAGCACCGCTGGATTCGAACCCGGTGCACATCTGCACAGGCTGCGACAGTGCCAGGTTGCATGAGATCTGGCAGGGTTCATCAAGGTGGACGTCTTTCTTTTCCACCAAGTCGAAGAACTCCCTATCGGAAACAAGACCTTCAACCGCGAGTTCTGTGTAGAAAGGGGTCCTCAAAGCCCCTGCTCCAAACCCCTGGAACAGATCCCACGACAGGACCGCCCCTTCGGAAGCAGCCATGATGCCGCCTTTTGAATTGTAAACCGCGTGCAGCTTGAAATACATCTTGTCGTGACTTCTAGCCGCCTACCATCCCTCCACCAAACCAAACACTCTCCGACGTCTACTATCTTCCACGAATAGAACAAGACCGCAGGGCGCTCTCGTGGGGTCGTTCTCATCCCCGCAGCACCAATCGACATACCATTTCGCGCGCACATGATCGCACCATGACTTTTTGGTCGTCGATTCCCTCCCCGAGGTCCCCGTAGGCTGTTCCTCGCCCCTTGACGTAGACATTCTGTTTGCACTAGCCCAAACGAAAGAAGCATTGGGACACACGGAAAGCACAAACAATCAGCACAAACAAGAAGTTCGGATGCCGACGGACTAGTTATGATGCAGCACACAAAAACAAAATTCGTGGCGTGTACTAAACACAACAGTCACTAAGCGGAGGTGCGTTGCCGTTGAGCGTCGAAGACAGAGGGTCAAGGCGACCGTGCCGTCCGAGACCGCTGCCCCGCATATGTTTCAAGTGCGGATACAGGCGAACTTCGTCCGCCAGAAGTGAAGACGCCCTCCAGACGTCCTCGCCTGCACAGCGCCAGGAAATATTCTCAACAGAGAACAGCTCTCCAAACCCTCGCGCCCTTGTAGACCGAACCTAGGGGGCAGAACAACGACAACGTTCGAATGGAGAACCCGTGTGCGAAGTCCAGATACTGGCGAACTTTTGTCAACTCCTCGGTGCGCTGTATCACAGGATGCGCTGACACGGAGAGGGGTCCTTTTCGGAAGTACTTGCCGGCACATTATTGCGCGCCATATTTCGGAACACAAGAGGATGGGGGACCGAGAAGGTCGAAGGGACACGAAACGAAGAATGATCTGGCGAAGACATTAACGAAGTGCGGATACTGGCGAACTTTTGTAATTGCTCAGGATGTGTGGACGCAGAGAGGGGACGGTTGAGAAGTGGTCGATGGCACGTTCTTGAAGAAATATGCCCAACATCCCTAACCACAAGACGCCGGGGCTCGAGGACCGCGTATCCACATGGAAGGAACAACGACGTCGCAGAATAAACTGACGAAGTTCGGATGCCGGCGAACTTCACAAATTGCGCATGCCATGTTGTGCCTTGTTAGCCGAGAGGCTCGCAAGGAGTGCGGACCACCCGAGCAAGGAACATCGACATATTGAGTGCGACTGTGCTCATCGTGATACCTCCCTGACCCCAGTTGACCCCAGTTCCAATTGAGCATCCCGAAAGACTGCCCGAACAATTGACAACCTGTGGAATCCGGGGGGGTGTTCTGTTTGTGGAGTGCGAAACTCTTCTCGAAACAGACCCAGATCCAACAAGAAGGCCAACCAACCTGACCC